TAAGTAACAACTTTATTTACAGAGGGTAACACATAACAGTAAAAAACTGACGAACCAGTGGCCCTCCATCCTAAGTTAAAATTGAAAAATTTCCCGGGGAAGCATGCCCCCGGACCCCCCTAGGAGCTTGCGCCTTCGGCGCTTGTTTTGCAGTAAATCGGTCAACATTTTTCCTAGATCCGCACCTGCTACCGCTCGCATTCTCGACCCCAGATACCGCCATCTTTTCCGAAATAAAAGGTTATTGCTCGTGGCAAGGATAGTTAATCGTCTAAAGCCAGTTGTTTTTTATCGGAGTAAATTTCCGTGTTTCTCTGAGCTGCTAAATATCCTTGTTATGGACCCTATAAATTCATATACACAAAGTACCATGTAACTCACTCAGGACTGAGCCAAGAGAACTTACAGATTGATTATCGCCATAAACAAGGGATTTTCTTTTCTTCTCAGAACTTTCTAAAAAGAACCCATTTTCATGTTTTTGATCGAGTTGAACAATGGAAACAGTCGTGAAAGTTTAAGATAACTGTTGGAACATGAACTCTTTATCTCGTTCTCCAAAAATTCCACTCGCGGATGTTTCTATAAGGCCTTTTCATGAAGGCTATCCTGGAGGTAAAGAACTCGTTTTCTAAAGGACAGATTTTACTTTTGAGCATTGTTTGGACCCTGTTTGGGAACGCCAAAAATAACAGCCGTGACGTGACGCAATGAGCCGTGACTTGTTTCAAAAGAAATGCAAATTAGCGTGACCAGAAAATAAACACACCGGTCAGGGTGACGCAGCAGATCTCCGTTTGCCGTAAGCTACAGTGTAGTGTGTGGATTAGTTTGTTGAAGAAAATGAGTCATTTTTCCAGTGGATCTCAAAAACCAGCCCGAAAAGGGGACGGTCTTCGTCTGTACAGTATGAGATTCTGTCCATTCGCTGAGGTAATGTTTACGACCGTTTACATGTAGCTAGTTTTTGTGCAAGTTCGCCAACAACCGTAATCACGATGTTAATGGCCTAATATATTTCAGACGACAAATAATTCGTTTGAGACGGCTCCTATGTCCGTAGTTATTTCATGTTGTTTCTCTCAAATCTGGATGCATTGATGAACAATTTGAGACGAAAAATCCTTCTTGAAGGGTCATCCATCT